TAATTCCAGGCTCAATAACAGTCGTAAGCTGAGCACTATTTGTAATGCTTCGATTTACAACTACAATGATTTATGGCCGCAATTCTGGGTTTAATTGCAACCGTAAGTCAAAGAATACCTGTGAATTGCTGCCGTGGAAGATTTTACTCTTCTAGGTGGCTCTGAGGAATGAAATCCTACAACCTGAGGCGACAGTTTAATCCATTGCTTACTGCCTCTGTCATCGAGACATTTCAAAGAGATGCTGGCACACTCTTTCTATCCTGTCTAAACCTATACCATTTCCTCTTCTCTGCTGCCAGCTTCTCGCTTCATATCTGATTCTCACAGGGCTGGTCTCCAGTTGCATTTCAGAACATCCTGCTGGGTGTGTTTTCACGGCCGTCATACTTTCTTGACCTTCCCGTTTTGGGTGAGGGCTGTGGGATCTGCATCATGGGGTCTGCTTGCATTCCTGCTGCCCACATCAATGCCACCGGTGACAGCCGCATCTCACTTTCTAATTTCCTTGGTAGCTGATACTGAGCTATTGAAAACTAGGCCCCCAATCTCTTTATTATTGAATTTCAAGGGTCCTTGGTGCTCTCTCAGCTTGCATGTCTTCTTGCAGACGTTTCATTACCCAAACATCATCACTGCTAGCAAGGAGTGGGATTTGCTCTCAGTTTATATTCCACTGACTTGCCCTGTCAGTGTTGGTGGTCTTGGTGGTTATTTGGCCGGGTTGTTTATTAGTTAGCTTCAGGGGTGGGATTCAAAAACCAACCAGCACACTATATGTACACCTATGGAAGATAGCTTGATGTTTTTATGTTTTGTTTGTCTATGTTTGTTTTTAAAAACCAATAAAATTAAAAAAAAAATCCCAGCAACCGGTTCGCTGCCCGGTTGCGGGGTGGGAGTGGCCATGGTGGGCGTGGCCTACCAGAACTTCTGGGAGGGTCATTTTTCACCTTCGCCAGAGTCCGGAGGTTTCCTTTGAGCCTCCGGGAGGGCAAAAATGGACTCCCCAGGGTCTGGAGGCCCCCCTGGAAGTCGGAAACAGGCCCATTTCTGGACTTCTGGAAAGTTTTTTTTTTCCGCCCTCCCAGAGCCTCTGCACAGTCCCAGCACTTACCTGGGATCCAAAATGGGCCCCGTGGAAACTTCTGGGAGGAGTGGGCAGGGCCAGCTGATCGGTTCAACTATTGTTTCAGCGAACCAGTTGTAAATTTAACATCTGGTTCACCCAAACCAGTAGAATCCCACCCCTGGTTAGCTTGCTGGGCAGTTCCTTGATTGTATTATTGTTTACTTCTTGATTGTTGGTCAGGTGTTAATCTTGGTGTTAATCTGTGTTGATTGCTGCTCGGGAGGTGTTTTGGTCTTTTTGATCTCTTTTTGGCTCTGAACGAAGCTCAGAGAGCACCAAAGCCTCTTCATTTCAACCCTGAGCTATAAATATTATCCTGTATTTATTGAGTTTCTTCAACCTCTATGAAAATGTGAAAGGGTGAGGGAAAAAGAACAGGCACATTTTAATACTTTGCACCAGAAATAAATTTCTGACTAAACTACTATAGTCCATTTGTCTCTATTTACCAGTGTAGAAAGTTAGCACCCACCTCTCTCCCAGAAGAATGAAATATTTTAGGAATATTAAAAAGGAAGAATATTTTATTTCCCTGGATGAGAAAAGGAGAAACATGTTATTAAAGACAAAGCAGCTTCCTGCGGCTCCCTGCCCACCCTCCAGCTCCAAGGTGATGGGATTAAGACATGGCCCTCCGGACATGATAGGATTAGCCCTCTAGCCATCTCACCACATGGCACCTGGGAAGATTCAATCAAGCTTGGGACTCAAGACAACCTACAAAGTTACCCCTGCATGGCCCCATGGGAGTCTGACAACCAATCAAGATGCATTTCATGCCATGGGAACAGGAAGCAAGTTCAAAGCCCAACAGAGGGTCTCTCTCTCTCTCTCTTTCTCTCTCTCCCTCCCTCTCTCTCTCTCTTTCACTCCCTCCCTCCCTTCCCCCATGTGCTCTTTTTTGCCCAGGACCTCAATATGGTCCTGTCCACCATTAAAACCATCCTCCCAAGCAGTCTCCATGTTTCCAGTGTCTTTTTTCCCCACTTGAAACTGAACCCAGATGGATATTTCTTCCAACATCAGGGATAGTCCATTCTGGTATTTGTCCCCAGTAAATTGATTTCTCTACTATTATGAATAATCTGCAGTTAGATTTAAAGTCTAAGACTGGTGAAAACTTAATAATTCAAGTCGTAACTGTTCTATATTAACATTCTCCAAATCCTGAGTTCTGATTGGTCCATGCGGACCGCAACCCGATTGGTTAACTAAATGACTGTGATTGGCGCGCTAAGAATCTACCGCGATTGGCCGAGCCGATCGCGGAAAATTCAAAGCGCTGCCATTGGCCGCCAAGCCGCCGGCCGGCTGAATAAAGCCAAGCGGTTCGCAGGTCCTGGACTGAACTGTATATTCAATAAAGAGCTGAATGTGCACTTTGAGTCTCGCGTCTCTATGCGACCCGATCTACCTGGGACCGATCTACCCGGGGCCGATCTCTCAGACTTAACAGTAACCAAAGGGTCTAAGAATTATGAAGATAATATCTGAGATATATGCAGTTGCAAGCGTGCTGGGTTTTGTTTTTTGTTTTGGTAAAATTGGGGTGCTTGGGCCTGATGAATTTAAAAATTCCAAATGGTGGAAGTCCTTGGGTATCGCTTCAAGGGTCCTGATATAACAATGGATTTTCTTTTTCCATAGTTTATTTTCTCTTCTTATCAGCAAGCTCACAAAGATTGAGACAAAGGTTCTGCCTGTTCCTTCCTATCTCCAAACTGGGCTAATTGCTGTTGTTGATCAATGGTGTGGCTCTCTTAAAGAATAATAACCAGTGGGTTGGGGTTCCTTCTACTTCCAATTCATCCATTCTTCTAAACTCTGGAGATCAGCCCCCTCCCCCAATCACCAGAGTTGTCTCTTTCAAACTATCCATCTGAACCAGTATTCTTCAAAGTCGTCAGAAAAACGGAATAACAGGCTTGGAAGGGACCTTGGAGAACCTCTAGTCCAACCCCCCTGCCCAAGCAGCAAAGCCTATACCATTTCAGACAAATGGTTGTCCATTTAAAACCTTTAGTCTGGAGGCAAGTTGTTCCACTGATTAATTGTTCTAATTGTTTGGAAATTTCTTAGTTCTAGGTTGGATCTCTCCTTGATTAGTTTCCACTCATTGCTTCTTGTCCTGCCCTCCGATGCTCTGGAAAATAGGTTGACCCCCTTTTCTTTGCCCCCTTAGAATTTGGAACACTGATATCATGTCACCACTAACATGTCTGGACTTCAACTCCCAGAATTCTTCAGCCAACATGGCTGGCTGGGGAATTCTGGGAGTTGAAGTCCACACCTCTTAAAGCTGCCGACTTTGAAAAACACATCTGGCTTCCATGTATAGAAAGCCACCCCTCCCCTAGATGAATGACATTTTTGAGAAATCTTTAAAAAGGCAGGATAAAATATTTCCCCTAAAAGAGAAATAAAAATCTTAAGGGAGACAGAAACTCAGAGCCCCGGCTCCCTGCCCCAAAGAAGATACTAAGCTGAGCCCAGCTTTTAAAAATGCAGATTTGGTAATCCATTTCTCCCTGCAGCAAAGACTGAACAGAGGTAGAGTTAGCCCTCAGCCACAATAGGAATTACCCAACAAGCCCCTTCATTGCATCAGCTAAACTTCAACCAAGCTTAGCTCAGACAAACTCTTAGGATTAGTACATGGCCCCATGGCAGTCTGACAACAGCCAATAGAATACATGCTCTTCCACAGAAACAGGAAGTTCAAGTGCAAAACCCAAGAGAAGATATACATACGGCCCCCCCACCACTCTCAACTCTATGTAGTCAGCTGCACCAGAATCACAAGTGCTTTGTGGCAGGGGTGGGATTCCACTGATATAACAACAGGTTCGGTGATTGCACACTCTGCGCGCACTCTCCACATTTTAAACGGCTCTCATACTTACCTTCTACAGCAGTCCCTGTGAAGAAAACAGCTGAGGCATGGAAAACCACTCTGCCACGTGAATCAACTGTGCTCTAAACCAGGGGTCCCCAACCACCGAGCCGCGGACCAGTACCGGTCCATGGAACATTTTCTACCAGGCCGCCAGTTGGCTTGTTTTGATGAGAAAGTGCTTCCAGTGAGCTTTTCCGGTTGGAAAGCGGCGTTTGGGTCCTGAAGGAATCCTCGCACCTTAGTTTCATCGAAGAGAGGGGGCAGCTTCGAACAAAACTAAGGTGCGAGGATTCTTTCAGCACCCAAGGTAAGGTGAGCCGAGCGACCGTCAGTCCCGAAGCCCATCGACAAAGGTACAAAGGAGGAGTTGAAGGTGGTGGGGAGAAGCTGGCCGGTTGCTCAGCTCGCCTTGCCTTGTCATGCATGCTGATGCTTTTACTGGGCTGCGGATCATTTTGTGATGCCGGTACCAGGCCCTGGCACAAAAAAGGTTGGGGGCCACTGCTCTAAACTAGGGGTCTCCAACCTTGGCAACGTTAAGACTTGTGGACTTCAACTCCCAGAATTCCTTAGGCAACTTTGCTGGTTGAAATCCCTCAATCTTAAAAGTTCTTCAAGTTGCCAAGGTTGGAGACCCCTGCCCTAAACAAAAGAAATAAAGAACAGGAAAGAGTAGGGCCGGCCCACAGCAAACTGGTTTGGAGACAGCTGATATTTGGAGCAAGGGGTTCGCCTGAACCGGTCTGAACTGGTAAAAATCCCACCTCTGCTTGGTGGTTGTGCTTCATCATTAAACCATCTTTCCAATCAGCTTCCATATTTCCAGGGTCTTTCTCCTGGCTTGGAACTGAACCAGATGGATATTTCTTCCAACACGTGCGGAGGAAAATGTGGATTGCTGTCTTTAGCCGTTCTTATTCTTTCCTCTTTTATTTGCATATTCAGCCCTGATCGATTTCCCATTCCTTACAGATCTTGAATGATCATGGAGAGGCCCTCAAAGGGAGCGTATTTCCTTCTGCTCCTCTGCTGGCTGGGGGTTTCCTGGGAGGCCCGTCTTCCCCACCCCCTCATCTCTTCCAATGCGACCATCTTCTCCCACGTCTACACAATTAAGGTGGCCGGAGAAGACACGCCGAACGAGGGCGCCTCCCCACCTCCCCAAGAGGCCTTAGGCCCTCCTGGATCTTCCCGAGGAGGGGCCCAGTATGAACACACCCTGGAAGGTTCAGATCAAGAGCACGTGGTTTTTACCCACCGCATCAACCTCCCGCAACAATCGTGCGGGTGTCCCCCTGGCACCAAAGATACCCAGGAGCTTTGGAGAAGGCTGCAGGCCCTTGAGAATGACGTGCGGATCCTCCAGGAAACGTGCCACGCTGGGGGAGGCTGTTGCCCTGCTGCGTCCACCAGCAGTCAAGCCAGCGAAGGTAAGGGAAGAGGAGGAGGAAGGTGGGGTTGAATTCTACCTGTTCGGCTGTTGGAATATTTTGTTCCTTAGCAAGTTAGTTTCTGAGCCGGGATCAAAGGAAGCGGGCAATTGCATGAATTAAGTCCTTTGTTCTTCACCCAAGAGTGATGACAGCAAGGCCTTAGGAAGGCGGCCATAGAGACCTCCTCCATCCAGGACAGCTTAGATACATTACAATTAGCCCCTCCTGTAGAATATAAACCCCTTAACTAGTCATTTGTTTCCCTCCACACATCATTCCATTTAAATTCCTTCCCTCCCTCCTTCCTTTCTTTCTTCCTCTCTCCCTCCCTCCTTCCCTCCTTTCTTTTCTCTTCTTTCTTTCCCTCCTTCCTTCCTCTTCCTTCCCTCCCTCCTCCTTCCCTCTTTCCCTCCTTCCTTTCTTTCCATCTTCCTCCCTCCCTCCTTCCCTCCTTCCATCCCCCCTCCTTTGTTTTCTCTTTCTTCCCTTCTTCCTTCCTTCCCTCCTCCTTCCCTCCTTTCTTTTCTCTTCCTTACCTCCTCCTTCCTTCCTATCTTCCTTCTTTCCTTCCCTCATTCTTCCTTCCCTCCTCCTTTCCTCCCTCCCTCTTTTCTTTCCTTCTTCCTCTCTTCCTCCTCCCCTCCTTCCTTCCCTCCTTCCTTCCTTCCTTTCTTTCTCCCTCCCTCCCTGCCTCCTCTCTCCTTCCTTCCCTCCTTTCCTCCTTCCTCCTTCCTTCCTCTTTCCCTCCTTCTTCCCTCCCTCTCTCCCTTCAAATAACTTTGTGAAAAGCCACCTTTAGAAGATCTGAGTTTTATTTTCATTCAGACTCACTTCTGAGGGTAGAACAAGCAGCTGAGCTCATGGGCTTCCTTCCTTGGGCTATAAATGCAATAATTAAGCAATTTACAGGTCCCCCTTTAAAAAATCCCTCCCTTCCCCTCCTTATGTTTCTCTCTCTCACACACACATTTTCTCTCTCTCCTAGGCCAGACAGACATTCATACGTTATGTTCTCACCACGGATCCTTTGACCTCTCTCGTTGCCTGTGCGAATGTGAATCAGGTTGGGGCGGTCCCACCTGCGCTGAGCCGGTCTGCTCTGGAGGCTGTGGGGGCCCAGAGCGTGGCAGATGCATCAACGGGCACTGCCAATGCCAGCCTGGCTACTCGGGGGTCAGCTGCGAAGAGCCGCCATCTTGTCCTGACGACTGCAATGATCAAGGGCGCTGTGTGGATGGCCGCTGTACCTGCTTCCCAGGATATATGGGCCCCTCCTGCTCCGACCCAGTTTGCCCCCAGAACTGCCATGGACATGGCCAATGCGTCTCAGGATGGTGCGTGTGCAACCCAGGTTACAGTGGTGCAGATTGTGCCACCCGAGCTTGCCCTAGCAACTGCAACCGGCGTGGAGAATGTCGTAATGGGCACTGCGTGTGCGAGCCAGGCTTCACCGGGCCGGCCTGCGGCACCAAGACTTGCCCCAATGATTGTAACCAGAGAGGCCACTGTCTTCAGGGAGGGGTGTGTTCCTGCCACCCAGACTACACCGGACCCGACTGCGGTCAGCTGGCATGCCCGGAGCACTGCAGTGGCCATGGAGAATGTCAGAATGGAACGTGCGTGTGCAACAGCGGCTATTCGGGCGATGACTGTTCAGTAGGTAGGTGCAAAGGTTTAAACAATCAGTCAATCAGACTAGAGCTGGAAGAGACCTTGGTGGTCTTCTAGTCCAACCCCTTGTTCAAGCAGGAGGTCATACCATTTTAGACAAGCGACTGCCCAGCCTTTTCTTAAAAACCTCCAGGGATGAAGCTCCTACAACTTTTGAATGCAAACCATTCCACTGGTTGATTGTTCTCAATGTTAGGAAATTTCTCCTTAATTCCAGATTGCTTCTCTCCTTGATTGGTTTCCATCCATTGTTTCATGCCTTACCTTCTGGTGCTTTGGAAAATAAGCTAAATTATTTGGAAAATAGGTTGGGAGGGGACATTTCCTGAATCCTTTATGGTCTAACCAAGTGTTTCTCAACTTTGACAATTTTGTAACTTAGCCAGCCAGCTAGAATACCCACCCCCGTATATAGCAACCCACCTTCACATGATCACAGTTTGTGACCATCCCAGATGTGGGGACCTTTCCAAATGTGCTTCCGACAAGCAAGGACAATGGGGGAAGCCGGATTTGCTTCATGGCTGTAGTAAAAAAATGTTGTAAAATCAGGGGCAGTCATGTTGTCAGGATTCCGGCGATTGCCCTAATTAAATCATGAGCCTCGAGCCAAGCTTCGAAAGAATCCAAAAGATTTATTAGGAGCAACATGTCGGCATTATCCCAGTTGAAGCCAACTCTGACACATGTGATTTACAGTCACCTATGACCCTGTTTCCCTCCTCCCCTGTGGGTGTATCATCAATCAGATTCTCCAACGAAGCACATTCATGGGCTGGGCATCATCAATCACATTCTCCAATGAAGGATTTTTGCAGGCAGAAGATCCAGTAGCCTAGCTACAATCTTTGTAAGATATGCATGGAATGTACTTCTGAGTCCCCCTCCCGCCACCTATGGTAACTCAAAACAGGCATAAGAATTCTTTACGAGTTGACACATGTAAGGACTCACAATGATCATGTTGCGTAGCAATGGAAGTTACAGTCCCAACAATAATTGTATGTTGAGGACTGCCTGAACAAAAAAACTTATAGCAAATTGGGCCAAACCTTACTATACCAGCCTTTAAAAGAGCATTAAAAAAAATCACTCTTTCTCCAAGTCTTGAGTTTGAAGATTCCTTGAAAATAGCACCTATTTATGCTGTTTGGCTTCAGCTGTTAAATCCCCTTAATGTGTGTTTTAAATTGGCTAACATATATGCTGGCTGGAGAATTCTGGGAGTTGAAGTCCACACATCTTAAAAGTTGCCAAGGTGGAAAAACGCTGGTCTCCTGATTGAATAAACAGCAAGGTGATTTTTCGCTACCAGAGAGAGGGAAAAGGAGATGTGGATATTCTTGCACAAATCTATATATTACTAAAACTGTCATTCCTGTAATCATTATTTGGTAAAACAGTGCATCATAGGTCAACGATTTTTGAACCAATATGCCCCAAATGGGCTACCTTAAAGAATGCATCCAAAATCCAGGATCCATAACTCCCAAGGAAATGAAATTTAGGGAAGTTGTCATAAAATCAAAGGGTTGGAAGGGACCTTGGAAATCTTGTACTCCAATCACCTGCCCAAGGCAGGAGTCCTCATACCTTCCTGAACAAAATGGCTGTCCAATCTTTTTTTTTTTTTGGAATCCTCCAGGGATGGGGAACAGCCGTGAGAGGTAAGCTGTTCCATTAATCAATCGTTCTCTCACTAACAGGAAATTCCTTCTTATGCAATAGTGGTGAATGGTGTAGGATGAGGGCGAAGATTCATTCTCCGAACTTGTGGGTTGGTTTCTGAAAGTTTCGTTACTGGGCTAGGTAACATCCACACCTGAAGCCCTAAAAAACAGAAGAACACTGATACTGACATCCCCTAAACTCTGCTGAAGCCTGGTAACGAAACATGTGGAAACCAACTCACCAGCTCGGAGAATGAACCTTCACCTTCATTCTTATTTCCGGATTGTGTCTTCCTGTGATGAACTTCAGTGCTGCTGGGCTGCTGCTGCAGTCATGTGATGCTCATTTTGAACATTCTGTGACAGTTTCCCAGCCACTCTCACAATCCCTCACTTCCTCCCCCATCCAGCAGCAGTCACTTACGAGCCTGCTTGGAAGGGAAATAGGAAGGGAGGGAGCGAGGGAAGAATATGGAGATAGGGAAGGCAGGAAGGAAGATTTCTAATGCTCCCTGTCAACTTCTTACAAGGAAAATCAATGGGGAAGCCAGCAGGAAATCAGAAGTCGCTTCCATACCCATTGCTTTTTTGCCCGCCCACGGTGATTCTCTGAAACAATAACCCAACAGGGCACTGGTTAGTGTTTGAACTAGTATGGAATATAGAGGTATGCACCTTGATTGGAGGTGAGGCTCACAGACTATCTCCTCAGTAAAATATCTCTTCAAGGCAACCTTATCTTAGTTCTGAAGAGATGACTATAAAACAACAAAGGTAGCCATATTGGTTTCTGCTCTTATGTTCACACACCATCTTTTTTCTTGGCCTAAACAGAGATTCCATCCATTGGTGTCCGTGTTTCAAATCGAGATGAAACGTCTTTTCGCCTGGAGTGGAACTACCCTGAGATTTCTGTGGATGGATATGAGATCCACGTGGCACCCATGGTAACGAGACACACTGCATTTTCTTTTTCTGTTTTCCTGATCCACATCAAAATATTATTTTACACCTTGTATCTGCTCAAACTGTATTGTCCACTTTGCTTGCTGCATATAACTTTGCATTGGCAAGAATTCTCCCCCCCCCCATGTGTGTGTAGGAGAGAGAGAAAGAGAATGAGTGAGAGAGAGGGGGGGAGGGAGAGGAGTCAAAGATGGCAGCCATTAGTATATGATCACAGATCTGCTCTTTTCAATGTGAATTACCAAGTAATTCACTCCTGAGCTCTGTTTTCCCTGGCAGAGGGTTGTAGGAGGCCATCACAGGTGAAAATGGAGCTCACACAGCCCTCCTGAGCTCTGTTTTCACTGGCAGAGGATTGCAGGAAGCCCCCACAGCTGAAAACGGAGCTCGGGAGCCCTCAGGCTACCACAAGCGCTTCTAACAAAAGTGATATTGAGCTGGCCATACCCATCCTAGCTTCCCGAGGTCAAACACAACCGTGGTGTGGCCGTCAATGAAACCGAGTTTGACACCCCTGCTCAGGAGTATCAGTATGTTGTGTGGTATCATACTGTCTCTTTTTTCCTTTCCAACCTGCAGAAGGATCCTCGGGCAGGTGAATCCATACACCTACCTGGCACCCAAAGGACCTTTGAATACAAAGGATTAAAACCAGGGGAGGAATACAAAGTCACCGTTCGGGTAGAAAAAGGGCAACACTACGGACCCCCTGTCACCCAGACCGTGCGTACGCGTATGTAGTCTGGAGCTGTGACTCCATTTCTGTCTGCTTCCCACATTCTCCATTTTTTTCCCCTCTCGTTGACCTGTTCCATGTTCTTGCAAATTCCCCTTCTTCTTGTCCAGCAGGAAATTTAGGTCTGGTCTATTTTCTCTAAGTCACACGTTTATTCAGATCTGGTCAAAGATGGGTCGTCACATAAAGCTGGAAGACACCCCCCACCCCAAAACGATTTATTCAGCTTGATTTTATACTTTATGTGGTTACACAAGCAGGAAGTCAGCTGTTTGCATGAAACTAGATAAAAAGCAGAAGTTGCTACAATGTCGTTGCTTGGCTGGTACATTTCAGAAACATATTTAGAAAGAAACGTATTTAGCAAACCCAAATTGCCCCTATCTGTGGTTTCCTGTCATGCTTCTCCTGACCTCCAGACAGTGTTCTGGCCTAGGCTCAGGGGTGGGATTCTACCAGTTGGCACCTATTCGCTAGAACCGGTTGTTAACATTCTAAGCAGTTCGGAGAACCGGTTGTTAGAAGAAATTACTGGCCTAATCCTGTAAGAAAGGCAGGAAGGAAACATTCTGGTGTTGCTTACAGAAACTGCCTCTCCGTTAACCCTTATTACATTCTTGGCAGGACTAGACTTCCTGTCTCAGAAACTTCTCTGGAGTTTTTTTCCCCCTCCTTTGCCGGTACTTTGCTTGTGTGGGGTGACCATTCAAAGTTACAATGGCACTGAAAAAAAGTGACTTATGACCATTTTTCACACTTACGACTGTTGCAGCATCCCCACAGTTATGAGAGGCCAGGCAGGGAGATGCGTGCCTCAATGTGAGTGATATTGAGTTGGCCACTCCCAGCCAATAACATGAGCACCAAGCCATGTCCACCCAAGCTATGTCTATCCATGATCACCAAGCCACGCCCACCACCTAAACCACACCCACAGAACTGGTTGTTAAAAATTTGAATCCCCCCCCCTGCCTAGGCTTCCCCCAAAAGCACTAAGCCGACTTTTTTGTCCTGGTAAAATCCCTTTTATTAAACGAAGGTTAATTTCTTGCCTTCACTTTCAGCCAAAGGCCTGGCAAACAGTATTTCAAGGGTCTAATTATAAGCACAGACCTTATCTGGCCTGGAGAGCTGCCGAGTAAATATTGTCAAATGCAGTGCTGACAAGGAAGGACTCGGCACAGTGTCTCTGAGTTGCACAGACAGATCTTCACACTGCTGCAACCAACCAACGAATGAATTGTTTCCTGCAAAAAAGCCCTCCCCTTCCCCTTTTGCTCCTCTTACTCCCTATGGGAAGGGCCGTTCACCAGGCACCTGTGGCCTTACTCCCACGTTGTCCCTTAGTTTGTAATTGTTCTTTTCTTTTGGCAGCTCTGTGCATGCACAGGCTGGGAACTGGCTCCAGCTGCTCCCTCGCCTCACTGCTGTCTGACTCCAAAGGCAGCTGACAACTGCCAGACTGCCTGGCTTCAGGATGCTGCAACCATGTAATTTACATGCCGGTTGCCAAGCAACAGAATCATGATCACATGACTCTGGGGGGTCCCTGAGACAGTCATATGTGCCAGGACTGGTCATACATCATACATCACTTCTTTCAGTGCCATTGTAACTTCGAGTGGATGCTAAACAAATTTGGTTGTAAGTTGAGGATTTCCCCGTAAAACTAGAATGCTTTTTTCCACTCTCGTTTCTTGTAAATTCTTTATGCAATTTTTGTATTTTGGCAGACTTCAGTGTGTTCTTTTTTTTCTCCTCTTTCTTTCTATTTTTTTTTCTGTTTCATTCTCCAAATATCATTATAAATAAATAAAGAGTGAGCATCCTCATTAAGATCCTGCATGGACCTGTTCTAATCTTCTATGAAATTAATAAGAGGGGGAAAAAAGCATTAAAATGGATTTAATTATGCTAGTTTACGAGGAGATAAAACAGGCCATTATTGAATAATGGTTTATATCTCCCAGGTTGTGATGCTACTTTCTATGCATTTGATCCTTACTTGCATTAAATAGCTGCAGCTCCTGTTATTTCTTGTTTAGGAATAACTGGTCTGGAATGTAAGAGTCAATGTTTATGGAGAGTCTCCGTCATCCAAGTCATGTTTGTTCCAAAGGTGGTTTTTTTTTCCTTCAAAATTCTACTCTACTTCCTTCGTTTTTCCTTGAAGACGTTTCACTTCTTATCCAGGAAGCTTCTTGAGTTCTGACTGAATGGTGGAGAATGGAAGGATTTACAATGCAGTCCTTTCAGCAGTTCCAAGAAGGCTCCACACCTCTTTGCACTATTCAGGTGACCCTGAGATAAACCTCCAAGTGGCCTCAACGACTCTCAGAGAGAGTGCTAACGATCAAATGACTGCAAGGAATATAAATCCTTCCACTCTTCACCATTCGTTCAGAACCAAAGAAGCTTCTTGGAGGAGAAGCGAAACGTCTTCAAGGAAAAAGGAGGAAAAAAAAAACAGTTGCTTTTTGGGAAAAAAACAAACATATTTGGGACAAGAGTCTTAATGACCACTAGATGGCAGCAAAGGGTTATACGATTTGTTTTCTAGCTCTTTGCTGCCATTTTGATGTCACCTGGATATTACAGGCCAGATCTGGTACCCCTACTCTTGTTTACTCCTTTCGTTAAGCTCGAGCCCATCTCTTTCCACCTCCGGTTGTTCCCCACCCTTATTCCCACCCACTCCCATTTGCAATGTTTTGTGTTTCATACATCTCTTCCTTTTCCCCAGGAGTGGCTCCTCCCACCGGCCTGCAGTCATCACAAGCGTCGGGAAACTCCCTGACCTTGCAGTGGGAGACACCTACCTCTCGCCCTGATGGCTACATCCTCAGCTATGTCCCTCTGGTTCCCACTCGACCCGCTCCAGCCATGAAACGTATAGAGTTGCCTGCAGCCCCTGAGCGTGTCACCCTGGAAGACCTGCAGAGCAGAACGCGATACCGCATCACCTTGGTTGCCCGTCAGAGTGGTGAGAACAGCCGAGCCACCAGCATTGTGGTCAGCACCACAGGTAGATCACTAGAGTCTTGATGGTCTCGGTCTAGAACTTCCTTTTCTCTGGAAATGTCTGTGGAGATTCTCAATCCTCCAGGTCATGGTTGTCCCAAAGGTGCTTTTTCCAAAAAGGCACCTGGACTTTCTTGGTTTTTTTTTCTTTCCTTTTCTTTTGAAAACATTTTGCTTCTTATCCAAGAAACTTCTTCAGTTCTAACTGACTGGTGGGGAAAGGAAGGATTAATATTCTTCACAGTGAGCACTCACTGAGGGTTAGTTGTTTCTGATCATCCTTGCAACACCTGGAATCACAGTACAATGTTTTCATTTAATCAGAATAGGGTTGGAAGGGACCTTAGAGGTCATCTAGTCCAGCCCCCCTGCTCAAGCAGGAGACCCTATACCATTTCAGACAGGGGGCTGTCCAGTCTCTTCTTAAAAACCTCCAGGGATGGAGCACCCACAACTTCTGAAGGCAAAGCTTCTCCGCTGGTTAATTGTCCTTCCTGTTAAAGACATTTCTCCTTAATTCCAGGTTGCTTCTTTCTTTCATTAGTTTCCATCCATTAGTTTCCATGTCTTGCCTTCTGGTGCTTTGGAAAATAAGTTGACCAGTGGTGTGATCCTACCTGCCGCTACCAGTTTGGTGGGTGATCGATCGTGCGCATGAGCGCCCCTAACGTACCAATCAGGTGAGAGGATGAAGAAACGAAAAGCTAGGAGCGAATTGCACTTTTCTCTTCTTTTATCTTCTCAGCTGATTGGAGGCTTTTTTTTTTGTCTGAACCGGTAGCATCCCACCACTGAAGTTGACCCCTGCTTCTTTGTGGCAGCCCCCCAAATATTGGAATACTGCTATCATGTCCCCTCCTCCCAGTTCTTTTTTTCTCTTGACTAGCCAAACCCAACTTTCTGACAGTGCGAACAATCAACCCATGGAACAGAAGTTGCCCTCAGAAGTTGTGGGAGCGCCATCATGGGAGGCTTTCAAGAAGAGATTGGACCGTCATCTGTCAGAAATGGTGTAGGGTCTCCTGCTTGGGTGGGGGGTAGGACTAGATGACCCACAAGGTCCCTTCCAACTCTGATTATCTGTTATCTGTTAAATCCTGCAACCTTTCTTCATATGTTTTTGTCTCCAGGCCTTTAATCACCTTAGTTGTTCTTCTCTGCATTGTTTCCAAAGTCTCAACTTCTTTTTGATAATGTGGCGGCTAAAACTGGAGTGTCCTTACCAAGGCTTTTATACAGTGGTACTAATACTTCACATGATTTTGATTCTATGCTGTTTATACAACCAAGGATTGTATTAATTTTTTTGGGTGGTAGGGAAGCACTTTTAGGTCAAAAGGATTTTTTTTAAAAAGGAAAAAAGGCACAGCATACTGAATCATGCATGTTGGGCTAACTGGAAATTTGTGTGCAGTGACCAGCATCTCAGAGATACTACCCCAAATGGTAGCCAAATGTGTAGAGTTCTTTCCATCTGATGAACATGTGATGAGAAACAATCGATAGTATGGCTAAAATGGCAGGGGAAGGCCCAAGATTATGTAATATCATAGATGCCCAAATGTGTGGACTTCAACTAGAATTCCTCACTCAGCCATACTGGCTAGAGAATTGAGGGAGTTGAAGTCCACACATCTTAACGTTGCCAATGTTGAAAAACACTATTTTAAGCGATATTGATTTGGGGCAGAATTTTAAGAATTTTTGTTCTGCAGAGTAAAATCTTTCTGTCCCAGATTTGTCTGTAATAGCATCCTTGATCCTTGATTCTCCAGGCTAACCTGGAATCATTAGCCTTCACAGTTTCACAGCTTCCCACAAAGATGTTTATGTTTTATAGTTATGCGAGCAAATTAGCACCATCCTCAGAAATATATTCTTCCAGTGTTTTGTCAATAATGTCTCATTTCAGCTTTATTTGCAGCGCGTGATGAAATGAATGATTAGAAATAAATGTGAAAGGATTGGTGAAAGGTGTTTCTGCATTCTTCCACTATGGAAGCCTTTCGCCACAATTACACTGTCTTTTTTCTACCAAGGACATCTGAAGTCTTCATTCCGCCACCCCTTCCTTCAGCATTTATGATTGCAATGACTTTTTTTTCATTTGAACCTCCTCTATCTATTCCACAGATCTCTGAAAAAGAGACCACAGGAGTTTCCTGTAAGCAATATATAAAAAGACTGACACTAACTCCATCTGTTTTATTGCAGCTTTGGGGAAATTCAGGATCGACACAGCATGGATAAGTCACCAAGTCTAACTTTGTAGTGGAATATCCCCGCTCCAATCTAAACCAGTTTACAGTGCATTTTTCAGAAAGTATTCAGAGGCGCTTCGCTTTTGCCAATTTTGGTATGCCGCAACTCGGAGGTGGTATTTAGCAGGTTCTGACCAGTTCTGGAGAACCGGTAGCAGAAATTTTGAGTAGTTCGGAGAACTGGCAAATACCACCTCTGACTGGAGATTTTACAGTATCCTTCCCCTGCCATGCCCACCAAGCCACACCCACAGAACCGTTAGTAAAAAAATTTGAATCCCACCACTGCTGCAACTGTTGTTGAAATTCATTTAGTTCTCATTGATCTACATTCAGTAACCCCATCATGGCAAAGTGAAAACAGAATTTGAGAAACGTCTGTAAATTTATTAAAAGGAAAAAACTGAAATGCCTTTCCAAATCATGTCTAGCCAATTTAATTTACCACAGGTCAACTCCATTCAAGAAGAATAGAAACATATCAGCAACGATGAAGAGAAATGGGAGGCACCTGAGCTAAATTTCACGTGTTGTTGCAAAGGGTCTGAATACTTATGCCAATGGGATATTTCAGTTGTTGTTTTTTTAATTAAATTGACAGACTTATTCTAAATTTTCACTTTGTCATGATGGGGTATTGAGTGTAGAGAATGAGAAAAAAATGAATTTCAACACCTGGAGCAAAACAAAATTGACAAAAGCGAAGAGGGTCTGAATACTTTCTGAATGCATTGTACAGTGGTGGGAAAATTAAAAAGCTAGGTTAAATAGCTCCATACAGGTAGTCCTTGACTTACAACCACAGTTGAGCCCAAAGTTTCTTATTGCTAAATGAGAACAGTTGTCAAAGTGGAATTTTGCCCCATTTTACAGCATTTTTTGTCACCATTGTTAAGTGCATCACGGCCGTTGTTAAGTTAGTAACCCAGTTGTTAAGTGAACCTGGCATCCCCATTGATTTTGCTTGTTGGAAAGTCACCCAAAAATGATCATGTGACCCCTGGACCCTGCAACTGTCATAAATATTAGTCAGTTGCCAAGCGTCTGCATTTTGACTATGGGGATGCTGCAAAGGTCATAAGTGTGAAAAATGGCCCTAGGTTCTTTTTTTCAGTGCCATTGTAGATTACAGATTGTCACTAAACGAACTGCGGTAAGTCGGGGACTACCTGTATTTCTAGCCGATAGCCATACCTCTCACCTCCACGACTTATTCCCACTGAGTACTTTGCCATAACCTCCTGCATTTTTGATCCCACCAGCACCAGCTCCAATTCAACCAAGTCGCCATTACTTCACACCGCCGCCCACTTCCGATAAAAAGCCAGGCACTTCCTCTCCTCAGCCTGAAGAGAAGAAACCAGGCACAAAACCACATTTGGGTCGCCGCCCCACCAACACTACCTTACTGACCAAGGAGCACTTCCTGAAGAGAATGACCCAGAATATCTCATCCAAACTGTCCCCATACAACGGGACCCTCCTTGAGCGGCTCGAGAGCTACCTCCGGGCCACCAATTTCCCTCTCCGAGGCAACCAAACAATCCAGAGCATCGCCAGGGACATCTACCTCTACCTCAAACGGATGAAGCCCATTGAATTTCAAGAGAGGGTGGAAGAACGTCTTGTCCAAGAAACCAGCAATTTAACTCTGAAAAAGGAATTCCCAATAACCGAAGCAGAGAGCGCCTACTCGGATGGATACCTTCGTCCAGACCATGCCAAGCCAAAGGTGGTGACCAGCTCCTCAGACCACATTGAGGTGTCTTTGGACAGCGTGAGGGGCATCTCTGACCACGTGGTCATCCGCTACCGAAACACGGTGACTGGAGAAAGAAAGGAGTTAGTGGTCCCTGGGGATGCTTCCACAGCGACCATCACCGGATTGTCACCTGGAACAACCTACTTGATGGAAATTCATGGTGTCATGAAAGGACATTCCTCTAAGTCATACTCCTTTATAACTGCCACAGGTACCAGGGTTGGTAGAGCAGTCATCCACCACGGCAGTTTTCTCTCTCCTTTTTGCCTATAATAGTCACATCACATGTCTTGTTTGTGTTGTTGCAAAGTCAAGCTTCTGCAGCACCCACACATGGCCAGATATTTAATCACATGTTGCTTTCACGTCCTCCCTCAAGTTGCTTGGATGGTAGGCTGCTGGCTATTTTCCTCCCTTAAAAGAAAGCCCTTCTTCGCCGTATTGCTTTCACGCAGACGTTGCAACCTCCACCAGCTAATTTCTTCTCCGTGCCAAAATGCACCTTTACCTGCTGCTCCAAAGTTTGTTTGATCTGTTTTATTTTAGCTACAGGCCACTTCTTACAGCCAAAGTGCTTCCCACCCAAATTTTCTATGTTGTCCTGAGTTTCTCTGATGTTTACTTGTAAACTAAGGGATGTTTTTCCACTAAATTCAATCACACAAGGAAGGATTTTATTACAACTGCGGGACGATAACGTGTAAGGAGCTTAGAGAACATAGAGAAGTGACTGAAATATACTGAATTTTCTTAATAATTTAAAACCCGACTTTCTTCTGAAGAAGTTCCCATTTTTATCCTTACAGCAATCCTGAGAAAGAATAATTTGTCCAATATCACCGCACTACAGCCCATCTTTCCATAAAAATACCCAATATATAAATGTACATATGTAAGAGTGTTACATTCAATATTTGCTGAAAAAGTTTTACACAATTTAGTAAAACATTTCTCAACATGTTGGCTCAAATAGATACAAGTGAAAACCAGGGTTTGTCAAAAACTGAAGAGATCAAAATCAGACCATCAAAACATTCACCTGTGGATGTTGAAGTCACGCTAAAAATTATCTTTGTGTAGAACATTGTCCTGGTGCTGATGTTGTCCTGTCTTATGTGTTATTTGAATTTTAACAAGCCACTTGCTTTCTTTTCAGCCACAGTCAGGTGCTGATAGTTGTACAAGTGAAGTCTTTTTGTGTTTAATCACTTTAATCTTCCAGGCTTCCGGCTCTTGCCTTGATGTTGCATTTATGTGGCTGAAAACCTTCTTTTCAGCTTCCGTTCCAGCAATGTTGGCTTTCAGTGTCGAGCCAGTTTATGTCGTTGTTCTGCTGTTGTTGCTGCAACCTTCACACCTCCAAACCACAACTTCCAAGTGTCTGTCTTGTGTTTAGCTGAGATTTCTAGGTTTTATTTTCCAAAATGAAAGGAAACTATTCTAAGACTTTGCTTGTTCTTCTGGCAGTAGCAGGAGGATCAGTTCTGATAAATGTCTGGCTAGCATCTCTCTTTGTTGAACTGAACCTTAGTCCTGATTCCAAACAATATTGTCCGGCAGCTTCTACCTCCCACTATGTGAAAACCAGCCCTGGATGTAGCTGGTTGAGCGAACCATCACAGACAGTGAGCCATAAAATGGACAACAGATAGTCCCCGAGTTACTACCGTAATAAAGCTTGTTTATCACGGTTGTAATTTGTGATGGTCGTAAAGTGGGTCAGTCACATGACAAACTCTATTTTACTACTATTGGTGCGATCATCGTTAAGTGAACATTGGGTGCAGTTTTGTAAAATGCCAGGTTTGGGCAAAACTGACATAAAATAGGGCCTTGTGACGTGGGATGCTGCAAACAGCCATACATGAGGCCCAGTTGCCAGGCAACCAAGACTATGTCATGTGACCGAGGGGGTGACTGTCGGAACTTTGAATCCAGGTTTTAAGTACCCCCAAGGTAGGTCCATTGGATCTTCAAACAGTCACTTGGTGACTGGTCATAAGTCAAGCACTAACTGTACATGTAGTCCTCGATTTATGACCACAGTTGAGCCCAAAATTTCTGTTGCTAAGCAGGACAGTTGTTAAGTGAGTTCTGCGCCATTTTACGACCTTTCTTGCCAAAATTGTTGAGTGAATCACTGCAGTTGTTAAGTTAGTGACACGGTTGCTCAGTGAATCTGACTCCTCCGTTGACTTTGCTTGTCAGACGGTCACAAAAGGGGATCACATCAGCGGTGGCATTCTACCGGTTCGGTCTGGTTCGTGCGAACCGGTAGTAAAAAAACGTTACCGTTCGGCCGAACCAGTAGTAAAAAAAAATCTACTGGTTCGGCCAAACCGGTATTTCTTTCTTTTTTCTTTTGTCTCCTGATGATCAGCTGTTCCAATGATCAGCTGTGCCGGGATCGTCCTCGCTGTCTTACTGCTTCTCCCAGGAGGTTTCCCTGAGGCCCAGGAGGCAAAAAGGGACGCACGGAGGGGGAACTGCATGCCGTCCTCCCCGCAGCACTCCGTTTTTTTGCTTCCTGGGCCTCAGGGAAGCCTCCTGGGAATAAAAAAAACGGGCTCCCAGGAGGCTTCTTTGAGGCCCAGGAGCCAAAAAAACAGAGCATGGCGGGTGCTGCAAAATAAAAAAGAAGCCATGCCCATCCTGTCACATGGCCACGCCCACCTAGCCACGCCCACCTATCCATGCCCACAGAACCAGTAGTAAAAATATTTGCATCCCACCCCTGGATCACATGACCCGGAGACACTATAATCATCATAAATACATGCCAGTTCCAAGCATTCAAATGTGGCCATGGGGACGCTGCAGCGATTGTGTGAAAAATAGATGTAAGTCGCTCTTTTCGGTGCTGTTGTAAACTTCAAACGGTCACTAAATGAATGGTTGCAAGTCAAGGACTACTGGCATTGGCTTGGACAAAGCATGTTATGTGAATGCAGCAATTGTGGATTTTAAAGCCAAGCGAAGCATGCTGCCTAGATGTGATATTTGCATCAATTCCTCATGCTTAAGATTATAATGAATAGAATGAGAATGGGATGGGATGGGATAGGATAGGATAGGATAGAATAAAATAGAATAGAATAGAATAGAGAATTGGAAGGGACCCTTCAGGTCATCTAGTCCAACCCCCCCTCCCCCAGTTAAACAGGATATCCTACACCATTTCTGAACAAATTTCCCGTGTTCAAATTTAAGGTAAACAAAGTGTACTTATGTAAAAGGTGGGTTGGAAATGAGAGAACGGGATGATCTATGTAGATACTCCCGCCCTTGGAAAATAGCTAGCTACTATAGTGGAGGAAATGGGCTTGTCTAGTTGCCAGCAAGTCTGTGTATTTAGAATTGGGCGTTATGAGACTCAGGAAGCACTACCCTTGCTCTGAATTGAAGTTCTTTATCCTTAGATAAAGCTTCCAGCTCAGAAAAGAAAAAAAAAATTGGCACCAAAATCAATGCTCCTTCAGAGAAGCCAAAAAGGAAGGATAAAAACACGAAAGCTAAATAACAGATTCAGTTTCTACCTTCAAAATAATTCATGGATTAATTTAATTTTTTTTTAATCTTTTAAAATTAATTTCACTGTCCACATATTCCCTATAATTGGTTCTGCTGAATACAAATATTTTAGAGAATGCATAAATTATTGATTTTGGCATCTTTTTTACTGTCATAATGACTCGATATTTTGCCATAAGATGTTTTATACAGCTTAGTTCCTTAGCATGACTATTTATATGGAAGACTTGAAACAGAACCACTCTCTGCTCAAAATTATACACATGTAGTTATGTGTAATTCTACAACATTAACTGCAGAAAACACTCAATTATGAAATTAAGTTTATTTTGAGAGAGAACATTTGAAGCTTTTCGGTAATTAACAATTGAGCTTCGGAAATGCAGAAATCAACATTTTTGTGATTTTTTTTCTTTCATTTAATATAAGTTTAGAAGCATTTTTTATCAAATTTAGAGAAACCAAACATCTCACTCACAGAGTGACTCTGGGTTAGAGTTCTAGAGATTTCCCATGACTGATTCCCGTGTAATAAACTGTCACATTTCAAAGGCACAGAGATTCAAACTGCAATCAAAAGACACATATATATTCAGAGAGAGAGAGAGAGAGAGAGAGAGAGAGAGAGATACAGGTGGTTTTTGACATACAACCATTCCTTTTGTGACTGTTTGGAAGTTACAATAGCACCGAAAAAAGTGACTTATGGCCATTTTTCATATGTAACATTGCAGCCTCCCATGATCATGTGATCAAAATTTGGTTGCTTGGCAACTGCCGTGTATTTATGACGGTTGCAGTGTTCCCGGGGGTCATGTGACCACCTTTTGCGACCTCCTGACAAGCAAAGTCAATGGGAATTGATTCACTCAACAACCATGTTACTAACTTGAGAACTGAGATGATTCATTTAACAGATAACAGATAATCAGAGTTGGAAGGGACTTTGTAGGTCATCTAGTCCAACCCACTGCCCAAGCAGGAGACCCTACACCATTTCTAACAGATGGGAGTCCAGTCTCTTCTTGAAGGTTTCAAGTGATAGCACTCTGCATTAATAACTGTGGTAAAAATGGAGTCATAAAATGAGGCAAAACTCAAGTCACCTGACTAGTCAAGTTAAGTATGTTGTCTAGATATGATATTTGCATCAATTCCTCACATTTAAAATTACAAAAATATAGAATAGAAAATGATTAGAATAGAATAGAAAATGAATAGAACAGAACAGAACAGAACATAATAAAGTTCTAAGGTGAATACTTAGATTAAGTTTTAAGTTCTGACTCCCATGTAATCCCTGTAAAATCTGCAAAGTAGAGAAATATGCTAGCCAGACTATCTAAGGGAGGAAATTGATGAAACTTAAAAACTAAACAAAAAATTCTGGTTCCCTCACCTCAAATCTCTTTTCCTTCAGCTCCAAGTTCACCAACAAATGACAAGATCCAAACCATTGCCACACCCACCTCAACACCTGAAGCTCCACTGAAGAACCTGCAAGTGACTGAAATCTCTCCAAACCATCTCCGTGTGACATGGTCAGCCCCGCCTGGTTTCTTCCAAAAGTTTTACGTCTACTATAGGGACCCCAAATCTGGGGCACCTCCCAAAAAAATCAGCATTCCGGGGACAGAGAGAAGTGTTGACTTAATGGATTTGCAGCTTGGTACAGAGTATGAAGTAGAGTTACATGGAGAGAGACCTGGTGGAAGCTACAGCGCTCCCTTCTCGACCAAAATGATTATAGGTACCCTCACTATATTCCTTGACTTCGTCAAATTCTAACTGGCATCTTGATTTTTGTTCTCTTCCAGATTTCCTTTTTCTAGCGAAGAAGTTGGTAGAATGTATCTTTCTGACGTGATGAAGGACATTGTCTAACCCAGTGACCATTGAGTTTCATCTGCGTCCTGAGGCATTCTGTGTCATTGCTAATGATTATGACACAAAGCCAAATCAAGTAGTGCAGTGTCAATCAATCAATCAATCGGAATAGAACTGTAAGGAACCTTGGAGGTCTTCTATCATCTCCCTGCTCAAACAGGAGACGCTATCATTTCAGATAGATGGCTGTCCGGTCTTTTCTTTAAAAACCCTCCGTATTTTTAAGTATCTCTCAACCTTAACAACTTTAAGATGGGGGGGCTTCAATTACAGGTAGTCCTTGTTTACTGACTGTCTCATTTCAAATACTGGTAGTCCTTGTTGTGGAGCGGCGGTAATAACCTGAGGTAAAACTCGGAGCGAACTTCAACTGGAACTTTATTACAAGAATAAAGGGTTGCCGCGGCTGCCGTACTAACAGGGCAGTCAACTGGCAGCAACAGCTGATGCCGTTTGACAGCTCCTTTTATAGCCGGCTGTCAAACGGCATCAGCCAATAGGAACGGTCCGTGTTCCCGCTAGAAACACGGACCGGAGTGAAGACTGTGGGTTAGTCCATTATGAACGCTACAGTCCTTGTTTACCGACTGCCTCATTTAGCAACTGTGCAAAATAGTGATAGTATTTTTTTTAAAAAAACCATAGCTTTGCAACCAGTTTTGGGAGTTGAAGTTCACTGATCTTAAAGTGGCCAAGATTGAAAAACGCTGAACTGGTTGTAACTGAAAAGGGCTTCCAAAGAAAATGATCAGAGAGAAGCAACTTAGAACTAAGGAGAAATTTCCTGACAATTAGAATATTATTAATTATTAATTAGAATATAATTAAAAAATAACCATTGGAACAACTTGCCTCCAGAAGTTGTAAATGCTCCAACGCTGGAAGTTTTTAAGAAGAGATAGGATAACTATGTAGGGTTTCCTAAGCAGGCTGTTTGACTCTGTTATTCTATTCTAGTTGCTCTATTTGCAGGATTCAGATTTGTGGATAACATTGCTGAAATAGCCCAAACACAACACCTTCATACAAGACAGACAGCTATCATGCTTCAAAACATGATAGACATCATTAAGGCACTATATTTGTTCATCTAAAAACCCCTCTTTTTGATAATGCTGAAGCAGTGCAATTTTTGAGCAAGTCCAATGAAATAGATTAATTACTGCTACTGCTACAATTATGGTTATACATTTTTGGGGTCACTAACATAATTACTTCGTAGATTATTTCACTGACATTCCTCCCTCACACAATGTGCATCGTATTTCGTGATGATGCTGTATATTTGTATATTATAATAATATATTTGCAAAGTGTATTTAAACTGTATGGTGATCTTTTTCCTGCCCAATGGTCTCCACAGCATAGCTTGCAATTCTCCATTTTTGCATGAGTTTTCCAAGTTCATTGGTTGATTGTTCTGAGATTCAACTTGGAAATAAGGAGAAATTTTCTGACAGTGAGAACAATCAACCAATGAAACAGCTTTGCCTTCAGAAGTTGTGGGAGCTTCATCACTGGAGGCTTTCAAGAAGAGTTTGGACTGCCATTTGTCAGACATGATGTAAGGTCTCCTGCTTGGGTGGAGGGTTGGACTAGATGACCTACAAGGTCCCTTCCAACTCTTTTAATCTAATCTAATCTGACTTTCTAAGACTTGTTCTGATCTTAAGGCATTGCCTTTCTTTCAGCATTGCTCACTTATTTATTTCTTATATTGATTTGCA